CTAATCCAATCTTAAGTAGTAGTTTGGTAATCTTCTTGTACTATTGTCTACCTACTTGTTTCAATCTGTATAATACTTTATTTAAGTATAATGCCTGTCCAGGTTTAATATCTGTAAGTAGCCTGCCTGACAGTAGTTTCACATAAATGAGTTTGTCCTCATTTAGTTCTCTATAAAGATATACAGATTTTACATCTATCTGATGTATTTTGTAGTTCTTAGATGCTGCCCAAGATAACAATAATTGTACTGTTGATAGTTTTGTTACTAGAGCAAATAAGTTGTCAGAATAGAAGTCTATTCTATTCTTTTGAGTGTATCCTTGTACTACAAATTGTGCTTTGTATTTGTCTATTTGGCTGTTAGCCAGTCTTTTGATTTTATAGACAAATTTCATTCCAATTATATTTGTATTCATAGGGGGGATAGTATATATTCACATGTTTCATTGTTGAAGTGACTGTATTTCATCCTTCATAGCTTTGATCCACTGTTCTTTGTTTATATGTGTTATAGCATTGTAATACATTAATAGATTGTTATAGATTTTGTTGAGGAATTTGTTAAATTCTGTTAGATACATAGTTAGGTTTATATTGTCTTTGTAATTTAAACCTATAGTTTGTTTAACCAGTCTTTGCTCTTGTGTAGAGCATTGTATGACAGGTTCTTTATCTTTATTATTGTTATTAGGAAGAGTTATTGTTATTAGGAAGAGTTTTATCATTGTTTGATGTATCATCATTATGATTATTCTCCCCTTCAATCCTAGACATTGGTTTGTCTATGAATTGTACATTACGTTCAACAGTAACTTTATTATTATAGTACACTAAGTGACCTTTACTGTCAGTATCATAACCTAGCCATTGTGCATATTAGCCTCTAGGTTGTAGTTTATGTGTTTGTTCATTCTGTATAATATAATATGCACCAAATTGTTGTATATTATCTATTTGATAATGTTTGTTATACTGTTTGTAATATAGTGTTGTGAAATTAATAGTAACTCTTAGTGTTCTGTTATGAATAAACGTTTGATATTGTACTGTATATACTCAGAATTTTATAAGTAACTTTGCTAATAACAGACACATATGTATACTGTTAAAGATAGTCTTATGTATATGTTCTACAACTCTGTTCTACTGTAGTGTATTGTGTACTGTTAATCTACATATTGTTCCTTGACTTTCAATATATGTAGTGAAGTCTTTACTTAGGAACACTGTATTGTTATTACTTTAGAGAGTTTTAACTCTTATACTGTACTGTATAAATAGTCTCATTGTATGCTTTACATATTCAGTGAAAGCATTACTTTTATGCTGCATAGGTAGCATAGTTACCCATTGTGTAGTATCATCTATGATAGTAAAAAGATATTTGTACTTGCTGTAAGCTTGTACTAGGGCAGGTCCCCAAATATTAATGTAGAGATGATCTCTATAACATTGTGTAAGAGGTGTTGTTTGTATTTTTGGTATTTCATTGTGTTGTATGTTTGCTTTGATACAATCTGTACACTGTGCATTTTTATTGTCTGTTATCCTTTAACTTATAATCTTAGGATACTCTTGTATGAGTTTGTACAAGTAATCAAAATTAACATGACCCATTTGTCAATGTAAATCAATGATAGTGATTGTGTTAATAGATTGTTTATTATGATGAGAAACTATCATATACAAGTTATTTTATACATGTATTTCACCAATCTTTGTATGAGTAGGAGAATAAATAATACATTCATTGTTTGTTTTCATTAAAACATATCCTACTTTGTATAATAGTGCTTCACTAACAAGTGTGAAGTTCAGATTGGGATGATAGTATATGTTTTGTAGTGAAATCATATTCACCTTAGTATGCTCATTGGCTTTGTCTTGTAGTTTTATGTTAAATGTCATTACTCCACTTTTGCTAAGTGTGAATGACAATTTATTTGCAATTGTAATGTTTATTAGGGTCAAGTTCTAGACGTTTGTAAGATGGAACAAGTATGGAGTAGTATGTACATTTGTACTAGAGTCCAATATATTAATACAATGTATTAGTTCAGTATCATTATAATGTATTGTATTAATACATATGTTTGGATTGTAATTGAACTCCTTAATGACTTCTTTTGTATTGTCAAATGAGCTCATGAAGTTGTCTACTTGTATGACACCATCCTCTTGTACTTTGAATGCTGAAAATATGTTGGATTCAGTAGATAGAGCAGATTGAATAGGTAAGCTGCTAGAACTTGATGCTGAGGCTTCTACAATTGTAGACTCTAGCATTAGTGTTTCATTAATGTCTTTAATGAATGCTGTTTTGTTATTGTCTCTAATGAATACTGCTGCATTAAGTGTAGGTTGAGACAACATAGTAGTAGTAGTAGAAGTAGTAGCTGTTTGCCTATACTTTTTCTTTCAAGCTTCTATTGTTTTGCTTGTTAGAGGATTTCAGCAGTCTTTTGACATGTGTCTGTACTTATTACAGTTGTAGCATTTAACTTTATTATAAGGCTTTGTTTTGCCTTTAGCTACACTTTTGCCTTTTGTTTGTAGGCTGTCTCATTCAGTATCTTGTTTCGTTTGAGAGTACTGAGAATGATACTCAGTATATATGTTTTGTAATTTGTGTATCAACTTAGCTAGTGTCAGAATGTCTTTCTGAGCTGCTGTAACTGTTGGTAGTTGATTATAATGGGTAATCTACCTGTCTAGTATTGTTACTACCCATCTATACTCATGAGGAGTAGTGAGGTAAATTGCTGAGATGTATGTATTGTCATTGAGGGCTTATTATGTGTAGACAACTGCTTATAGATTTGTTCAATATTGTCTAACATCTTATCAAACTGTGATACATACTCTTTTACTGTAAACAATGTAGATATGTCTACAGTATGTGTCATTGTTGTTTGAACATTGTATTGTTCAGAAAGCACCTTTATGAGACTTCTAACACTTGTATGTATTGTGAAGTTTGTATAAATTGTATCAGTTATTGTTTTCATTATACAATAATACAAAACGTTGCCTGTATGTATGCCAGCATTATCAGAGGAAGGGGGATTGTGCTCTAGATGGTCTGAGAGCATTATGACAGTGAGTGTACTGTGTATGTGTAAGTGCTATATCTTGTATCTCTTTACACTAGCTAACTTTTCTGTTCCCTTGAAGAACTTTGTAACATCAGAGTCCTTCATTGTAGCATTAACAAAGGTATGTGTTGTAGACAACATTGTAATAGGTTTGGGGGGAGAGGGAGGTCTAGGGCTTGGTGGGCTAGTAGGAGGCAAAGGTGTTCTGTAAGAGCAAGTGTATGGAGGCATTCAATAAGTACTAAGGCTCATAACCTTTTAACTAGCATAGTAGGAGTGCCCTAAGTACTCTCTCTTATTAAGACATCAAGCAAGTGTCTGCCTTATATACTACATGGTGAAGTCTGATAGTCTGAGACATTCCAAGCACAGTAACTCTATATAAGGCAATTGGGGATTTCCTAATCCAGAGCTCAATCTAATACTAACTCTATCTCCTAGGTTAGTATACTTAAAACATGTAAGACAGTCAAAGAATCTAAAACAGATCAGGGAAAAGTATATTATACAGTTATACTTTAATACAGGAAAGGAGCAAACACTAAAAAAAATAGAGAGTGAGAGAGAGAGAGAGATAAACAGAAAGTAAGACTCATACTATAAGAGGCACAGATAACTATAAGAGAATAATAGGTCATAATAGTATACAACATGTTAGAAAGTCTTATTATTACTTAAATACTTGATAAACTACAAGTGAAATAAATATCATTACAGTAAATATAAGAAGGGTAGGTAGAGTATTCACTATATTGCTACTATGTTAGGTATCTTTTCAAACTCTGTGCAAAATCCTAGAGTTGTGTGTCAATAGGGAAAAGTGTGTCTGCTCTTAGTGTATAATACTCATTCCAAATTCTGGTAGCTTTGCATTATACTAAGATACAAACAGGTGATTGAGGCAATGTTGTGGCATACTACTATATTTGGTACTATGAGGTGTACTTTGCACATTATAGTACAAAGTACAATATTAGACATATATTGAGAAAACCAGTAGTCAACTTACCAACCTTTTAAAACCAAACACAAGAAGCAAGCCAGTATAACTTCATGTCAGCAAATGTAAGCCAGGTCAAATCAAAGACAAAAGATGAAGGGCTGTCAAGTCAATATACCTGGGACTTTCATGCCCCACTTAGCGACTTTTCGGACTATGGGATAATTATTGTAAGCTTCTCATAAATTCTGAAGTATGACAATAAAGCCAACATGTAGCTCTGATACTAAAAGAAGGGTACAACATTGTCTGAGAAAAACCCTCATGATAAGGCTCTTGAGTTCATCCCTGTAGCAAGCAAGCATAATCAAGCAATAATTAAGAAAATGCAGGAAATAAGAGGTCACTTGTTCAGAGAATTATGTGCCAAAAAGATCAGTTCACAGCATATTGTGAGCATTACTAACAACAAAACCAAGTAATGCAGTTTAGACTAATGTCTATCCGAAATCTCAAAAGCTACTCTTTGATAATAATTTTAGCTTGGATAACAGATTTGACTTCGAAGTTGCTGGTACAGTTCTAGAGGGTCTAAAGGGCGAAAATCATGTTCTAGTCTTTGATTATGCTCAAGGCGGAAATCTCAATGATTGGATAGCCAAGAGGAACACACCTCTGGAAAAAGATGTGGCTCTTGTTGCACTGTTAGTACATTCAGTATCCTCTTGTCATGAACATAACTAATAAGTGTACAAGTATAGAAATCTTCTCAAAGGGATCAGGGAGTTACATAGAGCAAATATCATGCATACACAGCTCCAGTAAATACATTGTACCTTTTTTTAGACACTACCTACTCTGATGTGATTATTTTAGCCCAAGAAGGATCTTGTTCATGGAAGAAGCTAAAAAATACCAGTGGCCCGATACTGCAAAGGATCTTAAAATTTCTAACATGAGAAAGTAAGCCTCTGTTACTTGGAACTTCTGGTTTACTTTCTTTCTTATTGGTCGCCTGCAAAGTGCGGCTACGATTCGAAAAAGCGAAGGGAATGAGAATTATGACGAGCTAGAACCTGATATAAGTGTGCATCATACTGGAAAATTCGATTATGTGGACTACCTTCCCCCTGAAGCGACAGGAAACGCAAGTCAAGGTTTGGCGTCAGCGTGCAAACTGACTGCTACAGTGGATATTTTCTCTGCAGGGTAAGCATCCAGTTAACCTACACGAGACAATGCTTGCTAAGCAGTTATAACGTTGCATGAACGTTGTAGCATGATAATTGCCGAAATGCTTGGTGTGAGACCACTCGGTCATCGGCTAACTAAAGATAAAGTGAGGCCACTCACGGATCACGATATATGCGATTTGGCGGGGTGCTGTACAAGCTGTCGAAAGAATTGGAAGAAGATATCTAAAAAAGGTTAGGTAATTGCAATACAATTTATTGCTTCACTACTCATGCATTCCACAGGCAGGGATGTTATAAAAGAGCTTACAAATGCAAATTTTAAAGAACGCCCATCTGCTAAGGCCGCTGTTACGCTTGTATCCGAGGTATGTAGCAATAATTTCGAATGAATCTTCAAATTCTTGAACAATTGTCATTCCAGTGGGTCAATCAGCTTGAGGAAGACGAACGTCGACGACAACGTGACGAAAGGAAGAAGCTGAAGCAAGAAGAGCTCAAACGCCAATATAAAGCTCAGCGTTCCAAGTCTACCGCCTCTCAGAACAGAACAGAGGGGGAACGGAACGAACCGACAGTACGTCGTAAGCTTACGATTCGGTACGGTTCCGAATCAACAAAAAAGTGAAGAAAACAGAAAGAGCGACTTATTAACTAGAAAAGAACAATAATCGTAAGAACTTAGAAGGTAACAGGTAACGATTGCATACAGGACGTTAGACAAATTTCTTCATTGCTCATATGCTTGTTAAACTACAATTGAAATAAATGATAGACAATATAAAGAAGATTAGACTTACTTGAAAGATGGATGTTGAGGAATCATGAGTTGCGAGGGCTCATATTTATATCCGGAATTTTACAACTGAGAATAGCTAGTAATAGATAGAGTGAGGTTGAACCCGCAGAATAACCCTGGGCGTAAATTCACAATGAAGTACTAATGAGTGCTGCTATACTGCAGGTGTACTGACAAAATACTACCAATACAAGAGTCTATATGTATATGTACATCCCATCCGATTATAGATATGTGGCGATAGCAGCTGACAATATCATCACTATGATCAATGTCCTTGTCATGGAAAAAGAAGAGAAACAATGTAGACGAGCGCTTCGAGTCAAATTGAAAATAACCAAGTTACAACCACGTCATGGTACGCATCAAGCGTCATCATCATCAACACGTTCGATGGCAACGCACCAGAAGACTTTCGTGTCTGCGACACTTTGGCCCGGTTCCGGCCGTGCACAACAGACAAAGCGCACGGGTTGGCCGTCCCAATACTTTGCGAGATCGAAACTCAGCCCTCCTGGAAGGCACAGTGACAGCGTTGGGAATGTGATGAAACCGTAGCAGAAGTCGGTCGTAAGTACGTCCTACACGAAAATTCTCAGAGTCATGATCTCGCGACCAGAATCAAATAAGGCAATCATAGACTTACATCCTGGCCGAATTGCACGGCACGACGATTTTCCGTGTTGCTGAAGTGCGAACGACGTGTCTTCGTCGGGTTATGCAAAGCACTCTTTTTTGAGCCCTTGCTACTTATACTGGAAAAACTATCTGCTGAGGAAGAGGGGGATGATGATGGGGAGAGAGATGGAGAGCTTGAAGGAGAACGTGTGTTTAGGCTCGAACCGTCATCCACAATGCTGTATTTAGGGGGGAATGAGGGCGGAACACGCCCTCGTACTAGAGACGTGTGTGTTAAATGAGGCATAGTTGACACTAGTGGAGACAATGCCCATGGTTGTGGACCAGTGAGGTCGTGTTCCAAGGTAGGATCGATGACGCTGAAAAAAAGTGCTAGAATCGTCAATTCCGTTAGATCGTCAAGATAAGGAAATGAACGAACTGCATGAATTTTAAGGCAAGACCGGAACCCCAGGGCAACTTCAAAGGTCGGTCAAACGTATTTCCAAAGAGAATATCGTCGGCTGTAAAAGGCCGAAGAAATCGTCCTGCGCAAAAGAGAGTCGAATTATTAACATAGAAATTGTATGTTATAATAGAATATAGATAGATGTACCTTGTACCTGAATACTCCATGTTACACCCTGCCTTTCAGGTCGATCAAAATACTCGCTGTCGAGCACATTGCCTTCTTCGTCCGGGAAGCCCTTAATGTGAACCACAACAAGACCCTCAAATAGGTCAGAGGTTATTACATGAGCTCTATTGGTATTTGCACAGATTGGTCTCAAAGCATTCGGTGAAGGGCCAGCAAGGACGCGCAGACGGGGCATAGGTGCAAAGTAAGAATGGCGTCAAGTTCGATTTTCAAGAGAAAGCTGGTAGAACTGTGCGGTGAAGCAGTGGGAGAGAACGTGAGGGATAGTATGGGTTAAATATGTCAACAGCATAGGCCTGCTACTGCTGCGGGTCGTGGAAGGAGCGAACGAAGGCAATGCTGTGGCGGGAGATGCGTCAGGCGGCGCGCCAATTGCCCAAATTGGGACAGACGTACTCACACAGCAATTCTCGTTACACAAAGGACAAAGGGATGGAAATTCAAAATAAAGTGTTCTGGTTGGAAATTGCTGGGTATTTGCAATCATCCAATGAGCCGTTGAGTCTCTCTAGAACTGACTTTATTTAATGAAAAGAAATACAATATTGATGTTTTGGCGATTCTATGCGAGAATAACGTCCCCTCTGTTGGCTGCCACGCCGAAAGTTAACCCTGATATAGGCGTCTGGGAAAGCCGTGAAAACCGTGTCAATCGCTTGCACAAACAATTAAAATGACAACCCTGTCGGCTGTAACATTAGCGTGTTTGTAATACTGTCGCGGCGCCCCTTGCGGGCCAGACCCACATGTGGGCCATTTTACTATTCCTCCCTCAAATTTTGCTCAAACTTTATAAAGCTTTGTAGTTATGTATCTAAACATCTAATAAATATATATCTGAAATTTTGAGACAAAATAATGGGCAGAAAAAAAGTTGTTATGCTTACAATCTGAAGAGTATGAAAAAGTACACTTTTAGAGTGAACCAAACTCTTTCCCACACAATGAATACACTATATTAATTCAATTAATTATTACTTCAAGCTGTAATTTTGTAAACTTGTGTATTAGTATATTTTTTATTAGTATGTTTTTTTTTGTAGAAGTTTCCATGAAGTTTTAAGTAAGTTACAAGAAAAATCGCTAATAGTCTGATTTTAACAGATTAGAATATACAAATCCACTAATCTCTGTCTTCATAATTTTTTGTATACAATTCTACTATTAAGACTAGTAAAATAAAGTTAATTTTTATAATTATATACATTAGAAGTATATATGTACTGAAAATCTTAACTCAAACTTAATTACTTCAATTTATATAAAGTTATTATTTTTATAACTATAAAAATTATAGTTACATTAAGTATTAGTAGTAAAACTACTGCTATTACCAAAAAAAACATGTGTCCATCCCTCATGATATATATAATAAAGTAATAAAAAGTAGTATAGATATGATAACAGAAAGAGAAGGAATGTGAGCTTGAAGCAAAGGAGAAAGAGCTTGATTAGTATTAATGTAAAATAGTAGAATACTTATAACTAAATAAAGATAGAGATTATCAAACAAACTCAACAACTTAAACCTCAGGAAAGAAAGAAAGATACTGTATATGAGTACTAGCATACTAGAAACATAGAGATAGTGTGAGAGTGGAGAGAGTAAGAGGGAAATAGTAGAATATAAGTAAATAATTCTAAGTTATTACAATAAGCCTGATCCTGTAGATAAAAACACGAATATTATTAGTAAATAAACTTTATATAACTAATAGAGTAGAATTACCTTTGTTTCCCCTCCAATTAAGTCTAGATTGAGATGAAGCTGAGTTTGTGTACTGAGAACATTGTAAGG